CTCAAGTGGTCTGCTTCGTCTCACTGAGTTCCTGGTTTGAAAGAACCGGACGTGGCTTTATATGACATTGAGAGTTTTAGACTCTAGTTACTTTATCAGCTTTAGTTACTCCTCATACCTTTAGTTCCCTTTAGTTAGTTTTCATAACTTTATTTTCCTTGTTTATAAATATTACAGCTGTATTGATGATTGTCCAGAACTACTGAGCTTTGGTTATTTTTAAAACATTTATTTCCCTTGCTTATATATCTTACAACTGTAATGAAGTAGAATCTGCTTACTTTGAATGCTGTAACTTCTGTGTAGAGACAGGATGTCTGCATCTCCTTGTGACCAGACAGCCTATTTACATTTTAACAGAGACCTGTTGGCCTGTTTTACACTCACACCTAGGCCCACTTAGTATATTCCAAGATTCTGCTTTGTCTTAGGGTGCCCTGCAGCACCAGGGGGCTCACAACCTGAGATGACCACCTGGCCAGTTTAGCATACTTATTAGCATCACACATACAAGTGGCCTGCAACTCTAGCCACCCATTGTTTGGGGGTCCATTGATCACGACCAAGCCTCCACCTGAGACACACACACACACACATACCTAGATTTACCATATTCCGACATGGAAGTGCGAGCTCTGGCTCACACCAAATGATCAATAGGATCACAAACTATTGAAGGTTGCACCCCTGGTCAGGGCAGAGCAGCCCAGGAAGATAAATGTGTGGTAAAAACTTCATTCAAGATTCAGAAGCTGGTTTTCCTGCGGGAGCTCTGTCTCTCTGAGTCCAGCGCTGTAAGACTTTCCTGTGATCAGACTTTCAGTAAACTTTCTGTTGATTTTAAACAGTCCTCTCCTGTCTTCACTTCTCATGCTTCCAACAAAAGAACTGGATTAATTTCTAACAAATGGTGCTGTGACCTGGATCGGAACAACTTCAAACCTGTTGGCCTCTTTTACACTTACACCTCAATCCACTTAGCATATTCCAAGTTCTGCCTTGCCAGGGGGTGTCCTGCAGAGCCAGGGGGCCCACAACCTGAGATGACCACCTGGCCAGTTTAACATATAAATTAGCATCACACACACAGGGGCCTGCAACTCAGGCCACCCATTGTTCAGTGCCCATTGATCAAGATCAAGCTGCCACCTGAGACACACACACACATACCTAGATTTTACCACATTCCAACAAAGAGGTGTGAGCTCTGGCTTACACCAAAGGGCCAATAGGATTACGAAGGATGGAACGTTGTATCCAGGGCGGAGCAGCCTAAGAACTTAAAAGTATTGTAAAAACCTAACTTGTGGTTCAGAGGAAGGAATTCCTGCGGGAGCTCTGTCTCTCTGATCCCAGTGCTGTAAGACTCCACCTGTGCTCAGACTTTCAGTAAACTTTCTGTTGATTTTAAACAGTCCTCTCCTGTCTTCACTTCTCATGCTTCCAACAAAAGAACTGGATCAATTTCTAACAAATGGTGCTGTGACCTGGATCGGAACGACTTCAAGGTAGTGTCCAACGGAGGACCGGCGAAGT